GTTCAGCAGATCCCGGCGTTCTGCCCTGCACCTCCGATGGGTTTGACAAGCGGGGCACAGCTGGAAACACAGCTGGAGACACAGACCAGAGCTTGCTTCCTTCCCAGGTCATTTATAGCACCCGCCTGCGCAGGGCAGTGCTCACAACTCGTCTCTGCTTTCAGCAGTTCCTGAAGGACTGGGCTGCTCTGTGTCCGTGGTGTTCCTGGGGGTCTCGGGCACCTGCAGGAGGCAGCAGTGAGATGGAGGCGGAGGCTGTCCCCATCCTGTCACAGGAGCAGGGTTCATCCCCACGGGGGACGGGGGCACTTGCTCCTGCCCATCAGAGAGCTGGGGCCTCCCTGGGGCATGTGAGGTTGCTACTAACCACAGGCGGCTCCTTGGGCAGTGTCCCCCCGTTTTCCAGGAACTTGGAGAAGGTCTCCACATCCCGGTTACTCTTGTACTCGATCATCTGGAGAGGCGGGAGGGAAAGCAGCAGCATGGTGATGCTCATGGCTGATCCATCCCCTGGGTGCCAGGAGAGCCCAGTGGCCCTGCAGGGAGCCCCAGCCATGGCACCAGGCCCTACCTTCCTGCCTGGCCCAGCAGGGAAGTAGTGCAGCGTGGGGAAGCCGCGGATGGTGATGTTCTCCATCTCGTTGGCCGTGGCGTCCATCTCAGCAATCACGATGTCCTCATGGTCCTTGTAGCGCTCACCCAGCTCCTCCCACGCAGCCGCCATCTCCTTGCAGTGGCTGCACCACGGCGCATCTGCAGGACACAGGCACTGCTGCAGGGGGGACATGGAGCCGAGGGTGTCCCCCAGCGAGGGAACAGAGCAGGGCGGGCAGCAGGGAAGGAGCCCATGGCCTGCGATGGCCAGGCTGACACAGTGGCACTTACAGAACTTGACAAAGACGTTCTTGGTCTCATCAAAGGCCACCTGCTCGAAGGTCTTCCCCACGAGGACCTTAACCGGTTTCGTGTCCCAGTCCTCGGGGGGCTCCGCGCTCCGCAGATGGGGCTGGATGGAGGCAGACAGTGGTGAGCGGTGGAAGAGACCAGTCGGTCATGGTACTAGTGGTTGAAGGCCAGGGAGTGATGAGGCCTCAGCCTCTGAACTTGCAGCCCCATCACAGCCAAGCAGGACCAAGGACAGGCAACAGACACCTCCACACACACCCCCTGGGCGCTTGGTCCTGGTGATCACTTTCCTTCTGCATTTTTGGACCACCACTCCCCCCTGCCAATGTGTCATCGCTGTGAGTCTCCAGTTCTGGTACTTGGGAGGGGGTTGTTACTTGGCTCCTTTCCCTTAACCTCCCAGCCCTGCAATTTGGCCACACAACTGTTGGAGCAGGTGGCTGCAGTTCACGGTGCAGTGGCTATCGTCCAGCTTCAGAGCCAGCAGCCCAGTGCTTGCTTTGGGAAGCATTTCTATCCACCACACCCAGGACTCGCAGACACCCGGCACAGTACGGCCAGGCCCGAGCAGCCCCATGCTCACCTTCACCTTGCCGTCCAGCACTGCCTGCACGAAGGCACGCAGGGCCGGGGCCGAGAAGGCGTCCTCCTCCATCTGGTACTTCCTGTTGGTCTCCATCTTGACGAAGCGCAGCGTGGGCGCATCGGCCGGTGTCAGGCCGAAGAAGGGCAGCATGCTGGCGCCGTAGCCGCCCACGTCGACCAGCACGAAGAGGACCTGTGCGGGGGCAG